TCTTACCTACTGTCACTGCCAAAAACAAGTCTGCAAGCTTTAAGACAGGTGAAATCCAATCACTTTTTAGGCCTAACTCCACTAGAATAATAAAAAACACCCTCCGGCCTTTTTGGAGCTCAGTTCCCAAAAGCCTCCCAACACAATCACAATAAGAGCCAAATGAACACCGAATCTGAATCTCTCCTTGGCCCAGAGGTGCCAAGTTCATGTTTTACTGCCCAAAGTTTTTTAGTGTGTGTGATTTTTATTTTTTTGGCATTGGCACATTCAATTTCAGATCCTCCCTCATCTTCGTTATTCTAGAAGAGAGGACAATGGGGACTTTCACTAAAAGAACCATGCAGCCCGGTTGTTGTAGCTCAGAGGTTGAGCACTGACTCATGCACCAGGAGGTCACTGCTTGGATTCCTGGTCAGGGCACATGCCCAGGTTGCGGGTCAAATCCCCAGTGAGGGGCATAAAGGAGGCAGCCAATCGATGTTCCCTCTCATCCGTGTTTATATCTCTCCCTTCCTCTCCTTTGTTCTCTCTTTAAAATAAAATTAAAAAAATTTTTAATTTAAAAAAAAGAACCATGCATTCACCCGGCTGGAGTAGCTCAGTGGATTGAACGTCGTCCTATGGACTGAGTGCCCAGTTCTACTTCTGCTCAGGGCACATGCCCAGGTTGTAGGTTCAGTTCCCAGTAGGGGGCATGCAGGATCAATGTTTCTCACATCAATATTTCTTTTTTTTAATCCTCACTCGAGGACATTTTCTTTTCCATTTTTTGTTCAGATAGAGTGGGAAGGAGAGAGAGAGAGAGAGAGAGAGAGAAACATCGATGTGAAAGGGACACATCAAGTGGCTGCCACCCGCATGACCAACCAGGGCCAGGGACAAACTGCAACCGAGGTACATGCCCTTAGTGGGAACCAAACCCGGGTCTCTCTGGACCGCAGACCAACGCTCTAACCACTGAACCAAACCAGAAGGGCTCACATCAATATTTCTAGCTCCCTCTCTCCCTTCCACTGTTTCCAGAAAAATCAATAAAAACATATTTTTTAAAAAACTATGCATTCTTCAAATAGTCTATGCTACACCTTTTGTCCACAGTCTCTCTAAGACCCTCGCTAACCCTGAATGGACCTCCAGACGAGGACCTGCGGCTCAGGGAAAGGGCAGGGTGGGGTGAGGGTAACCTGCTCCAGGTTCCTGCAACAGTGCACAGAAAGACACTAACCCAGGTTAGTCTGCCTACAAAGGTTTCCCTCTGTCCACTATGCCAGAAATGTAATGCAAAGACTCCCTGCCAACATCAATGGGAAAAAAAGGAAACAAAATAAAATAGCTAACTCCTTCAAAAATTTCTCAGCACTGCATCGGAGTGTCCCTGCAGTCTTTCTTACTCAGTCCATACGCTAACCCCATGGAGGGGGCGCTGTCGTTATCCAGCTGTATCATCCAGAAAGTTCAGAGTGGTGGCTGGCTTCACCTTAATCATGCAGGTTGAAATAGAGAAGGGAGGAAGAACTGGAGATTAAGGAAACAACAGGAAAGAAAGGCAGATGGAAGAGAGGCGTGCCAGGGAGAGGGCAAACCACCTTTGAAGAGGAAGTCGGTGCCTGGTGTCCAAGGCCCAAGGGCTCTGCTCCAGAAGACAGGGAACCTGGGGGCAGGCCTTGGAAGGTCCTCACAAGTACGCAAGCGCGGGGCAAGGGGCACGGAGAGAAGGACTGCATGTGTACTAATAAAAACAGAATGAGTCGTGAGTGCCAAAGCCAATGTCGAAAAATGGCAGGGATGACTGGACAGCCAATAAATCATTTCTCAGCACTAAGCTTTCTGCTTCCTCAGGGTTTGAGATTGTCATGAGTGGGGCTGGAAGCTCCTCAGCATGTTCAGACAGGTCAACAGAAGCTCTCCATTTTTATTTATTTTTATTTTGCATTTATCTTCAGATAGAGCAGGAGGGAGAGAGGGAGGAAGAGAGAGACATCGACATGAGAGAGACACATCGAGTGGTTGCTACCCACACGACCTCAACCAGGGCTGGGGACAAACTGCAACCGAGACACGTGCCCTTAGTGCAAATGAACCCAGGACTCCCTGGTCCGTAGGCCGACGCTCTAACCGCTGAGCCAAACCGGCCAGGGTCCTCTCCATTTTTAAATTCACCAGATTCATTAAACCTTTTTAAATGCTTCTAACCCCTTCCAGGATTGGAAATCCTATATTACTTGCACATATATTCTGTTAGGCAATGTTATCTAAAATTGCCTGATCATATAAGCACCTGGAGCACTTGTTAAACATACAATTCCCAAGTACCCCATGGAGAGTCTGATTCTGTATGTAGGCTCAACACTGGAAGCCCTGGGCCCTGGCTGGGTAGCTCAGAGTTAGAGCATCACCCTGATACACTAAAGTTTCATGTTTGATACCTGGTCAGGGCACATACAAGAATCCATTCATGAATGTATGAATAGGTGGAACAAAACAATGTTTCTGTCTCTCTCTCTCTCTCTCTCTCTCTCTCTCTCTCTTGCTCCCTTCCTCTCTCTCTAAATAAAAGACAAAACAAAAAAACACAACAAAACAAAACTGGAAGCCCTGGGAATCTGTGCTTTGAATAAATGATCCAGCTGATTCATATAATCAGGCTAGTTTAGAAAAATTGGTTTAATAGGACTCTCTGAACAAGCTTACCAGAGAGGCATCACGATCCCCATTTTACAGACAGAGTGAGATTCAAAGAAGGACAGGACATACCTAAGATCATACAACTCTTGTGTGGTAGAATCGAGGACAAGAAGTCACCTTGTGACCCCACAGGGAATATGCATGCTACACCATTTAAGTCTACCTGAGCCAGAGCTAGCTTCAAAAAGCCCATTCCTTGGAGTCTTCATGTGGCAGGAAACACCAGGAAATGGGGGTTCAGATGATATATCCAGCACCCTCAGAAAGAACCAGAAAGCAAGTCAGTGCCCTGGGTTGAATAACAGCCCCCGCCCCAAAGGAAGGAAACACAAAAAGAGAAGGAAAGCAAGGTCCCCTCCCTCTGTAGTTCTATTTTTGAGCCCTCGAGGTTTGCAGGCCAATGGGGTATTTGCAGATACCCACACTATTAGCACTGCTTTGACGAAATAGGTCCATTTGGCTAAAATAATGAAAACATTTCTTTCACTGCTGCATAAAGGTTGAAAAAAAACCTACAGAAAGGTCCTTCCAGAAATGACTTCAGCCAATTAATTTCACACCAAAAAAGGAATGCCCCAGATGAGATCTTCACCCACATGCTGGCCTCCCCATTGGTGATAACAGTATAACGGTGACTAATTGTACCTTGTGAGGTCAAGTGCCTGAGGTTTGCTGAAGCCATTATTTTTTCTAATCCTCACTCGAGGATAGTTTTCCATTTTTATTTTCAGAGAGAGTGGGAGGCGGAGAGAGAGAGAGAGAGAAAGAGAGAGAGAAACATTGATGCAAAAGAGACATATCGACTGATTGCCTCCCGCATGACCCCGGCCACTGAAATGCAACCGAGGTGCCCTTGACTGGAATCGAACCCTTGACTCTTTGGTCCACGGGCCAACACTCTAACCATGGAGCCAAACTGGCCAGGGCTGCTGAAGCCATTTGTCCAGGCAAGTGGATCCCCACTACCCTGAGACCTCAAACTGACGATCATTCATTGGTGGTAGGGGAGGAGAGTCCACATGGAAAATGACGTGACTGTGAGACATGTCCTCTTCTGTCTCCTTCCCGAAAGCCTGACGCTGAGCTACCTAGCACGTTCTTATCGACGCTCTGCAAGAAAGGTCCAAAGCGTACAGACCGGTGCAGACACAAAGAGCACGGGGAAAACGGTGCTCCTATGCCCAGTTTCCCTTGAGGTTAAATACAAAGAAAACTGGGGAGGATTTAGTCACTTCTGAAGGGACAGGCTTTAAGGTACAACACCTGCCTCGGCAAAGCCATGTATTCACACAGGCTTGTCCGTCCTTGGGAACCGACCCTCTTCCTCACAGCTCTGCTCAGTACTGATTCAAAATGACAAGACCCTCCTCGTCTGCTGCTCCCTTCTTGTGTGTCACCTGAAATCTCAGGTCAGAACAACAGACGCGCATATTTTGAGATTTTATGGCAAGCTTGTCCCTATATATATATATGGGTATCCATGCACATATCCACTCTTAATTATAGCAGCCACAATTTCACACTCAATGAGTATTTTTGTCTCTGCCAGGTAGTACATACTTAGTTATAACATTCATAATTTTAAAAAATTATTGTTGACTTCAACATATATACCTCTATACTCTCCAATGATTCAAGTACACTAATATAAAAGCGAAAACAGGTTCATAACACACCCTTAAAAATAGGCTATCTCTATGGGTGAAAAAGATGAAGGAATTAAGAAGTACAAATTGGCAGTTATAAAAATAGTCACAAGGATGTAATGTACAGCATAGGGAAAGTAGACAATGATATTATTAAAACTATACATGGTGTCAGGTGGGTATTAGATTTATCGGGATGATCACATCATAGGTTATATAAATGTCCAATCACTACGATACACATGAAACTAATATAATATTGTATGTCAACTGTAATTGAAAAATAAAATTAAAATATTTTAAAACACATATCTCTTGCCTTCATTTTCAGGGCTAAAAAATATACATTTTCCATTTATGCACTATGTAAAAAGTACCTTTGGAAAAACAGTCACATGTCATAATGGACTGTCCATGTCTCTCAAATGTGAATAATTTCAGTGAATGGTCTTTACCTAGGATACCACATTCCGGGCCTCACGGGAACCATGGTGCTTCAGCATGTGCACTGAAGGAGGAAGATGGATTCAAGATGTTTCCAGTATGCAAAATCGCATGCAGATGTACAAACAGCGCGTCCAGTCAAAGCGAGTTAAGAAAGCAATATATATACAGACACCCGAGAATGGATGAGCGCAAATAAAATCTAACTTGTCATTAACATACCTTGCTGTGACACCTGTTGCCTTCCACGATAAGAAGTCTGGGAGATCAAAGAAATGTCCCGCCTGATCCCAGCAAGTCTCTCTCAAGTTCTGCCAAATAAAATATATATTAGAATCAATTATGGGCTTTTTTTCTCTACTGGTCTCCTCTTTCAATAATGTCTCAAATTTTTCCAAACAAAAGCATAGCCAACAATGCCCAATAAAACATCTGTTCAGGGGCTGAGAGAGATGATGTAAAAGCAGTGTGTGTATATATATATATAAAATTGGTGATTATTGATCCTTCCAAAAATGACCATAATTTCCCTTTTATCCCCCTTTGCCAACCTGGAGGGGTAGGAAGCACATTCTGTGAAGGTGTGCAATCCATCTTCCCAGTGAAGGGCCAGAGGATATGCTTTAGGACATAGACGTTTTCAAAGCTGAACAGCTGTGAGCTGGGAAGAAAACCTCACTGAGAAATTAATGCATGAAACAGAACATGTCCTGCCCATGTAAAATTCTCCCCAGATCAGCTGGTTCCAAATGATTCCTGCCCTTAAAGAACTTCCCATCTAAGTCAGGGAGAACAGCACGTAATCAAGCTATTAATGTAAACTTTTATAACGTCTGTTTCTTCCACACTGCCAATGTGGTCAGAGTTTTTCTTGCCACTGGGCGTTTTCTTTCCTCTGCTGACTCTACCTGGAACCTTCATACCTCACCCACCACCCTGTCCCTCCATGGCACCCTGCCCCCTGATCAGCCCTGTCCATTCTTCCCTGGGGAGGCCTTCTAGGATCTCCTGCTCAGGTTAGGTCTGGCTGTCACACGACCCCTACCACCACACAACTATGTGTGAATGCTTTTCTGCCCTGCTGCATTTTAGCTCTGTGAGGCCAAGGACCTTGTCGGTGTATGCACCTGATATCCCACAACTGTGCCTCTCCTCCCCCTGCACAGTGAAGTGGAAACTACATAATTCCATTCCCCTTCCCTGGACCAGGATGGACATGTGGCCTCAGCCAATCAGATCCCCTGTCCCAGCAAGTCAGAATCAGGATCCAGAGAGAGTCCTTTGCCTATGAATGAAACTGGAGGTAAGATCAACTTGGAAACTGTGAGGTGGTCATTTCCCACTCCTGGAGAAACAGAACTTCATAAAGAAGTGTAAAGCAGCCCTGGCCGGTTCGGCACAGCGGTTAGAGCATCGGCCTGCGGTCCAGAGACCCAGGTTGGTTCCCACTAAGGGCATGTACCTCGGTTGCAGTTTGTTCCCGGCCCTGGTTGGTCGTGTGGGTGGTAGCCACTTGATGTGTCCCTTTCACATCAGTGTTCCTCTCTCTCTCTTCCTCTCCCTCCCACTCTATCTGTGCAAAAAAAAAAAGGAAAAATGTCCTGGGGTGAGGATAAAAAAAAAAGTGTAAAGCAGCTAGAATCAATAGCAACAAAGGTCCTACCACCCAGGCAACTGTCCATGTCTTGGTCTCAATGACCCCTCCGCAAGAGGCTGCTAGAACAAGGACTGTATCCTCAGCACAGGAATCTTTGGGACCCGAAGGGCACCAGTTCAGCAGTTCAGAAGAGACCTGGTCGAGCGTCTACCAGGGAGTGACACATGGCAGGCCCTCAACAAATACTGTTAACAACCAAACTGCTCGGTTTCGCCTTCCAGTCGCCTGCGGGGAGGGCTTCAGAGTGCACGAAGGGCATGCAGCTGTGTGTCCTCAGAACAACACACAGGTCCTGAGTGTCATTCCTTCTATTCCACAGACACACGCTGGCCTTTGTCTACATGCGCCCTCAAATGCTGAGTCCGTCCTGTTTCCTCCTTCCTATCTCGGCTCTATGAACACGGACACCTATGCACAGCAGAGAAACTGAGCATTACCCCAGATACAGGGGTTCCATTAAAACAACAGTAACATCAAAAGGGTTCTGATGTAAACAGCCCATTTTCTCTTCTTGTTGTTGTTTATTTGTTTAAATTCCTAAGCACTTGGATGAGAACTTATATCCAGAGAGAGCTAAACTTCTTGAACATCCACACATGTTAATGCTAAACAAAACAAAATTTAAAACTGATTAAATATGCCTTACACAGCTAGTGTCTTTCTATACTAACAGGTCACAGTAAAAAATGGTAGCCTTTGAGCCCTGGCTGGTATTACTCAGTGGTTAGAGCATCGGCCCACAGGCCAAAGAGTCATGGGTTCAATTTCAGTCAAGGGCACAGACCTCAGCTGTGGTTTGTCCCCAGCCCTGGCTGGGGTCATGTGGGAGGCAACCAGTCGATGTTTCTCTTTCTCCGTCTCTCGCGCTCTCTTTCTCTCTCCCTCCTGCCCACTCGATCTGAGGATGAAAAAAAAATGGTGGCCTTTGAAACCAGTATGTGAGTCAAATCAGTGAAACCAGTATGTCTTCTGGGCAATCCATGTGCCTTGTGGCTCAGCGCCTGGTTCTCGGGAGAAAGAGCAGAGGCTGCCCCTCCCGAGGGCTGCAGAAATCCAAGGCTCGTCACCAGAAGTGAACAATGAACCAGTACATCCACCGCAGCAACAGCCAGCGCTCCAGGCCCGACCGGCACAAGCTTCCTGAACTCAGAAAATAACTGCTTCTGTGAGATCTGTGCAGGGTCCTGAAAGATGCCGCATAATGAGAGCTTTCAGCCTGGCCACGCCGACAGCCATTGGGGACAACGGCACCCAGGCAGAACATCTCGGACAACCTCAGGCCTCTTGCCAGAGACACACAGTGGGGGCAGGGGGTGCAAGGCAGCCAGGAGCGTCATTACTTCTCAACAACACGCCAGCGTCACTGACCAAAGCCAGGGGCCCCAGGCCAGCCTCTCCATGGGAGGAGAAACCAGAAACATCTTGTGAGAAGTCGGGGGGTCCTTCAGGATGCATGTGGCCTAGCAGAAGAGGACGGCAATCGTCCCTGCCTTTGCTACAACAGCAGCGTGGAGGTTCGCCAGCAGAGGGACGGACGGGGAAAGCGTTTGCTGGATGAGAGGGACTGTCCCCAGAAGCTTGGTCCGTCACTCCAAGAGGCTGCCAGACCCCTGTGAGGATCCCAAGCTGTTCTCACACGGGGCCACCTCATCCATAAATGCTTGGTCATCAAATGCAGACTGGCCAAAGGCATATTAGCCCCATGGATGAATTTTTAATCTAGTTCTGCGGAAAAAAACCTCTCCATCTCTCCCTTTCCCCAGACAGTTCAGTGCCAGCCGAGGGCCTCAATCTTACTGCACTAATTCTACCCTGGTAACCAGTGGGCCTACATCAAGATGCAATGACTGTCTTCTTATATTCCCCCACAGCGTATAACAGTGCTCCCTTGCGCCTCGTCTCGTCTGATTCCCAGGGTGGGTCAGAGTACGTAGGTGATGTGCAGCAGTCAACACGAAGGATGCACAGACTGGGGTTCGGATGACAAGGGCTTAGTCACACAGGGCTGCCAGCTCCAAAGTGAATGTCTTTCCTCCCACGATGCTAGTCACCACCACCCTGAGGCCCAGACCTATCAGAGGGTGGGTTCTGGCCTTTTGGAAGGGTCACGAAAGAAGCTACTGCCATTTTTACAGAAGAAACAAACTAATAAAAGAAATGCTCTCCCAAACACATATTTTTGCATATGCTCTTTATAATTTCAGAGATTTCACTTTCAATCCTGGGCAACTCACTTAACTTCTCTGTACCTAGTAACAACCTCTCTGCACAAATGTGGATGGTTAGAGAGCGCAGAGCGGGTCCTCAAACATGCCAACCTTAGTGCATCTCACTACACAACTGCTACGTCCAGCTCAGACTACGAGAGCTCCGCGCTGCATGGGTTAAGTCTATCCTTCAGTTACCAAGCAACTCACAAAAACGAGTCTTTTTAAGGAAAAAAAAAAAAAAGACATCAGCCATGATTTGGGGTGTGTGACTTGGCAATTAGACTTCTGCATTCCAATAAAAATCCTTTGAGCATGCAATCCCCCAGGCTTGAAAGCAACCGAGGGAACAACTCTTGGCTTTTTAAATCATGTATTACTTCATAAAAGGACAGCGCTTCTTGGGAGGAGGCGCTAGTCAAAGCGCACACAGCTGCAGGTCTCGCAGAGGGTGGAGGGCAGCAACCACCCCAGCCTCGGGGCAGGGAGATGCAGCTTTCTCCCCTGCCCTCTCACTGTGGTGTCCAAGGAGGCGGTGAGGTCTCTGCTGGCTTCTAGACGTTGTGGGAACTTGTGTGAAAAATGAAGCAATTACTGCAATGCATGTCGGGAGACACCAGGGTCTAGGAGCAGCATGGGAAACAGGGATGACCAGTTCCAAAAGGGTCATCCAAGTATTTTGTTATTAATTGCAAAGGGATTCTAAGCGGGATAACTGCTGTGGGCAGTGAATAAGAGGGAGGGACAGAGCTCCCTAACTCCCCACCCAATAAATGATCCGGCCTGAACATTCCAAATCCTCACGTCGTTGTTTTCCAGCACAACAACCCATAAAAAAGCAAAACCTTATCCTCACTCTGCATTCAAGACTCCAAATTAGGGCACAGGCTGATGGTCCAGAGAGGAAAGTTGTATCAGGAAGAAACTTAATCCTCAAATGTCATTCTTAGAAGAAAAATGACACGGGAAACATGAAGTGGGTCATAATCCCCGACCAGAAACTTCCCAGAATGAATGAAACAACTGTGTGTTTCCAACTCCCATCCACAGAAAGATCTAACACTGGACACACTGCACGTCAGACAGACAGATGCACTGAGAGGTTTGCGCCATTAAAGGCATATTTCTGAAAACTTAACATTCGATTTCTTTGTTGAAAATGGTTCAATAGTTCCTCATGGCCTGAAACCACATTTTCTCTCTTTGGCATGGTTCTCAGGACACTTAAGAACCTGGCTCCAGCTTGGCCATTACTTTTATGAATTCTTCTGGACTCATCTCCCATCCCCCCTCCCGCTCCCTCCGCCCTGCCCTCACCCGTTTCTCCCACTTCCCCAGATGCACGATGCATTTCTGTATTCCCATGCCTCCACTGAGGCTGATGCCTCCACCTGGACTGGCTTTTCATCTTCAACCATGATCACACTTCTACCTTTGCTTCAAATTC